AAGGGGCTCCTGAAAGACTGCCTACAAAGAAGCAATCCGGACACCAGGATCAACAGTAGCTGTACCTGATTTAAATATATCAACTATGCAAAAATTCATGAATTCACAGACACTCCAAAAAGATCAAAATAATCAATCACCACTGCAGAGTACTAAGATAGCAATTCACTATTCTGAAATTTCAGAAATAATAGGTAAGAATAAATTATTTAACTTGCTTTTTCAGTACAAACTATATTTCAGGATAGTCAAACAGCTGAAAAGAAATATTTTTTTTACTAAAGAAGAATTCCAGCCAATACATGAAGATATTAAAGAATCTGGGGGAAAAAAAAAAAAAAACCCACCATTTTGCAACCCCTAATGAAATACCGAACCCAGGCAACAATCATCAATGACCACTAAAATTCTTAGGTGAAATACAAAATGAGAGAACTTTACAACACAGAAAACAAGCTGCCACAACACGAACCCACATATTCACTTTGGTACCATACAAGTGGGACAAGCAGACACACCTGATGTGGTGTGTAAGGAAGTGCCAGTACTGACGATGAAGTATTCTTGCCTAAAACTCTAAAAGTGAATAATCTAATCATGACACCAGATTTACCGACCAATTTCCAAGACATACAGGAGATAAGGGAACAAGTTAACTGATCCACGAGGAAGCAGGCAAGTAAATTCAGAATATGGAACACTTTCCAGAACAATGATCCAGTTTTTCCATAATAACAAAAATGCAGTATGTGGAGATTGCTGAATCATGGTTTAAAAACTAACTGTAAAAGACAACTTTTAAGATAATTGAGGAAATATAAAAATGGACTAGGTTTTAGATAACATAAAAGAATTTATAGCTATTCTTGTAGCATAACTATTGCATGGTGATTATATAAAAATCAAAACCCCCATCAGTTACAGATGCATACTGAAACTTTTTTTTTTTCAGTCCAAGTAGCTGGAACTATAGGTGTATGGCACCATGCCCGGCTAATTTTTGCTTTTTAATTTATTTATTACAGAAAGGAGGTCTCGCCGTGTTGCCCAGGCTGGTCTCAAACACGAGATCAGGCAATCCTCTCGCCTTAGCCTCCCAAAATACTGGGATTAAAGGCATGAGTCACCGCACCCAGCTTGAAACATTTTTAATGAAATGACATATCAATGATTTGCTCCAAAATATAGTCTGAGGCAACGGAAATGCTCATTGCCCTGACTGATCATTACACATCAGCGTGCATACATGTACTGCTATATCACACTGTACCCCATAAACATGTGCAATTATTATGTGTCAATTAAAAATAATAACAAGAGCCGGGTCCAATGGCACATACCTGTAGTCCTAGCTATTCGGAGGCTGAGGCAGAAGGATTGCCTGGGCCCATGAAGTTGAGTCCAGCCTGGACAACATAGCAAGAACCATCCCCTCAGCCTCTAAACTTTTTTTTTTTTTTTTTTAGTTGGAAGCTCACTCTGTCATCCAGGCTGAACTGCAGTGGCACAATCACGGCTCACTGCAATCACAATCTCCTAGGCTCAAGGCGATCCTTCCACCTCAGCCTCTCAAGTAGCTGAGTTTCACACACCACCCTGCCCAATTAATTTTTTTATTTTTTGTAAAAATAAGGTCTCGCATGCTGGGCTCGGTGGCTCAGCCTGTAATCCCGTGCCTTTGGGAGGCTGAGGTGAGCGGACTGCCTGAGCCCACGGGTTCGAGACCCACCTGGGCAGCGAGACCTCATCTCTACAATAAATCAAAAATGAGCCAGGGGTGGTAGCGCGCGCCTGTAGTTCCAGCTACTCGGAAGGCTGAGGTAGAAGGATCGCCGGAGCGCAGCAGGTCGTCCCGGCCACTGCACTCCAGTCTGGGTGACAGAGTGAGACTCCAACTAAAATAAATAAATAAATAAATAAATAAATAAATACGGTCTTGCTATACTGTCCAGGGTGGTCTCAAACTCTTGGACTCAAGCAATCCTACCATCTCAGTCTCCCAAAGTGCTAGGATTACAGGTGTGAGCCATTGAGCTCAGCTGGGATTCTGTTTTTTTAAACCAGGATAGCAATGAAAATAAATCTGAGTCTAACTTTTGACACATCACTAATGTTTACTATTGATCACAATAATGCTTCAGCAAGGATTTGTGTAAGGCTGATGAAAATTCTACCTTTGAAACTAAAACATAAAACATTATAAAAGCAGGCCAGTACTTTCAGATCCTAAGACTACTTAAGCTTGATCATTTAATACCTTTTGTTTAAAAGAATCAACCAGATGGGCTCAGTGGCTCAGACTGTAATCCTGCGCTTTGGGAGGCTGAGGTGAGTGGATTGCCTGAGCCCGCGGGTTCGAGACCCGCCTGGGCAACTTGATGGACCTCATCTCTACAATAAATCAAAAAATTAGCCAGGCGTGGTAGCACATGCCTGTAATTCCGGCTACATGGAAGGCTGAGGCAGAAGGATCGCCGGAGCCCAGCAGGTCGAGGCTGCGGTAGCCGGGAGCGGCTACTGCACTCCAGTCTGGGTGACAGAGTGAGACTCCAACTCCAAAAAAAAAAAAAGAATCAACCAGGCGTTATCAACCAGGTACAGTGAGTACCCTCCCAGCTATTCGGGAGGCCCTGTGGAAGGATTATCTGAGTTCAAGAGGCTGAGACTATGATCAGCCATGACTGTGCCACTGCATTCCAGCCTGGGTCACAGGGTGAGACTCCAACTCATTCATTCATAAATACATACTTACATAAATGGGTATTGTCAGCAACCAACTCTAAGACGAGTTCTCTTCTTTCTTTCCTTCTTTGTTTTGTGAGTTGGGATCTCACTCTGTCATCCAAACTGGAGTATAGTGGCATGACCACTGCAGCCTTAATTTCCTGGGCTCAGGCAATCATTCCACATCAGCCTCTCAAAGAACTGGGACTACAGGCACACACCACCACACCCAGCTAATTTTTTTAAATTTTTTGTAGACACGAGGTCTTCCTATGTTGCCTAGGCTGGTCTCAATCTCCTGGGCTCAAGCAATCCTCCTGCCTCAGCCTCCCAAAGGGATTACAGATGTAAGCCACTGTGCCCAGTCAAGTTTCTGTTACTATCTTTAGAGCATTACTACAATAACTGACAACACACCTGGCACCCCAAAACTTGGCAAGTCCAAAGCACGTTTCCACTTCAATCCACATGAACAGAATCACTGCCAGTAATATAAAACAAATAACATATAGCAGTTTCTAAAATTTTTATAACCTAGTAACACTCCATTTTTCTGTGGCAGCTATAGCTTCAATAAATATTTCTTCAAAAAAAGGAGTCTCAGCAATCCCAGCACTTTGGGACACTGACATGAGAGGATTGCTTGAGCCTAGGAGTTCAAGATCAGCCTGGGCAACATAGGAAGACCTCATCCCTTAAAAAAAAAAAAAAAAAAAAAAACAAACTCAGGTATGGTGGTGCATGCCTGTAGTCCCAGCTTGAGGCAGAAGGATCACCTGAGCCCAAGAGGTCGAGGCTGCCGTGAGGCGTGATAGTGCCACTGCATTCCAGCTTGGGTGACAGAGTTAAGAACCTGACTCAAAAGGAAAAAAAAAATTCTGGAAGACCACTCTTAGCAGCATTGTTTAAAAATAGTAAAAAAAAAAGGAAAATAATTCAATTTTAAGTAACTGCCATTTTAAGAAAATGTTCTTTATTATATTTATCATGTATTGACTGCCGTCTCTTCCCCTGCTTATTTATTACTAGAATATGAGCTCCACAGGGGCAGGAACTTTTTCGTCTGTTTTCTTCACTGATGTGTTCCAAGAGCCTGTGCCTGGCACAGAGTAGCAGTCAATGAACATCTGATGAAGGAACGGGTCCAGCAACAGAAGAAGGGATAAACTGCAACGCTCTCATATGATAGAACACTATACAGCAGCAAAAAGGAACTATAGTGACTTCAGTTCATTTGGCTCACTCTCAGAAATACTGAATGACAAACACATACAGTATAAAATATAAAATCGTAAAAAGTAAATATGTAATATTTAAGATACGGTTTCCCAGCCGGGTTCAGTGGCTCAGCCTGTAATCCCGCGCCTGAGGGAGGCCGAGGTGAGTGGATTGCCTGAGCCTGCGGGTTCGAGACTCGCCTAGGCAGCGAGAACTCATCTCTACAATAAATCAAAAAATCAGCCGGGCGTAGTAGTGCATGCCTGTAATTCCGGCTACTCGGAAGGCTGAGGTGGAAAGATCGCCGGAGCCCAGCAGGTCGAGGCTGCGGTGGCCGGGAGCGGCCACTGCACTCCAGTCTGGGCGACAGAGTGAGACTCCAACTCAAAAAAAAAAAAAAAAAAAAAAAAAGATACGGTTTTCCAGCCGAGTTCGGTGGCTCAGCCTGTAATCCCACGCTTTGGGAGGCTGAGGTGAGTGGATTGCCTGAGCCAGCGGGTTCAAGATCCGCCTGGGCAACTTGGCGAGACCTCATCTCTACAATAAATCAAAAATTAGCTGGATATGGTAGCATGCGCCTGTCATTCCAGCTACTCGGAAGGCTGGGGCTGAAGGATCGCCGGGGCCCAGCAGGTCAAGGCTGCAGTGGCCAGGAGTGGCCACTGCACTCCAGTCTAGGTGACAGTGAGACTCCAATGCAAAAAAAAAAAAGTACAGTTTCCCAACAGCAGACCCGAAGAGGGGCAATTATGCCTTTCTTTTGGAAAAACATAAAAATTATGAAAATATATTTATTATGTAACTAACAAGTTTGTCTCTTACTTCCTCCCCACCCCACCCCCGACACACAATACAGAAGTCTCTCTAATAAATACTATTTGGTGATTATTTAAAGAGGAAAAAAAACTTTCAAATCTACTCATGTGCAAACAAAAGAACAGAAAAGCCAACTGCATTTAAAAAGCAAAAAATATCTATAATAAAATAAAACTAAAAGAAGGAGGAAACCTGATTGCAAAATAAAATATTCAACAGTGCCAAAGTAAAGTCAAACATACCTATAAGTTCAGGTGGGTTTCTTTCATTAAACCGCTCACACAGACGAATAAATGTGTCAGTATTCTCAGTTGTAGGGCACTCACCATGTCTAGTAATATAAAAAACAATTTTTTAATAAAAGGTTACAAATATCAATGAAAGATTTCAATACTAAAGAGTCTTAATACATAACTTACCCTTTACACTGAAGTTTTATGTATTTGATTCCTTCTTTTTCGATGTCATTCCTATCATAGAATCTGGAAGTATTTGTCAGGTCTACCAACAAGCCCATTTTAACCTTAAAAAAAAGGGCAGATTTACTTGTAACTTAAGTTGTTCCAAAACTAGCTGACTAAATGGCAATATTACAGCGCACCCATGTACACTGAGGGAGATTTTGTGTTTCACTTTGCCACTGACAATAAAAGCACCACTTACACAAGTCATATTCAAGACGCTGGAACTTAGTAGGATCTCAATGAAATAAATCAACCCCAAAGTTAATAAAGGAACAAGTAGATAAGCAAAACAGACTCCACTCCCAAAATCACAAATGTCCCCCCGAAAAAGAAAACACTGATAGAGTTTTCTACATCTACATCTGCACCGATGATGTATTAGACCAGGCTAGAGGAGGGGTAGCATCTGTCTAAAATATGCCACTACTCGAGCTCCACACATCATCACCCCAGCATTCCAAGCAGCCACAACCAACAACCAAGTAATGCCTGCTGATATCTACTGACTACACCATACTATAGCCCAGCCTTAAAAGATGTCATTTGCATCTTAAATATATGTGTGTGTGTTCTCCTTTCTATTTGATTAATAACCCTTCTATTTTCTGAAAATACACTGATGCCTCAAGTTTTATTTTTTTATAGCAAAATAAAAAATGGAGACTCCTAGTAAAAAGAAACAGCAAAATTGAGACAGCAATTTCCCTCGTTTCTTCTTGAATGTCATACAAAAACAAGGTAAATGATTAAAAAACAAAAAGTCCCATTTTCAGTGAAACTCAGAGGCAAGTAAAATCCACACTTTCATACTAAATTTCATGTCTAAATTCTAAAATTCTAATTTCATGTCTAAATTCTGCCAAAAAACAAAAACCTAAGCACACCGCAGAAGTTATGTGGAAAGGAAGAAAAGAGAAGCAGAACCAGGAGGGCAGATTTTAGAAACACCAACAGAAATACATTTCCTATAAGAAACAGCTTCCCTAAAGTGGCAGACCTACATCTCAAAAACACAGGGAAGTAGAAACAATGCATGGGGGAAAATGCAAGGAAGACACACACACAAAATTAGTAAAAATGACTCTGTGTTGGTAAGCCTCACAAAAAGTCAGCACAAACACACTACATCCCTAATACAAAAATCCAAAATTCAAAATGCTCCAATAACCATTTCCTTCTAGCATCAAGTCAGTGCTCAAAAAGACTCGAATTTTGGAGCATTTCAGATTTTTGGATTAGGGATGCCCAACCTGTATATACTTTAATGAAATATTAGACATCTGCTAAAAAAAAAAAAAAGGAAGTTTTTGGGTTCTAATAAATGAAGATCTTCAGAATATACTAAGTTAAAAAAAAAATGGCTCAGACCAGTCTATGTAATGTGTTAACTTGAGTATAAAGGGAAGAATAATCATTTGTATTTGTTGTTGCTTATATACCCATAAAGAAATTCTGAGGCTGGGCATGGTGGCGCAAACTTGTAATCCCAGCACTTTGGGAGGCAGAGTCAAGAGGACTGTCTGAGCCCGTGGGTTTGCAAACAGGCTGGGCAACATGGTGAGACCTCGTCTCTAAGTAAGTCAAAAAATTAGCCTGTAATCCCGCACTTTGGGAGGCTGAGGTGAGTGGATTGCCTGAGCCCAAGGGTTCGAGACCCGCCTGGGCAACTTGGCGAGACCTCATCTCTACAATAAGTCAAAAATTAGCCAGGCGTGGTAGCACGCACCTGAAGTTCCAGCTACTTGGAAGGCTGAGGCAGAAGGATCGCCGGAGCCCAGCAGGTCGAGGCTGCGGTGGCCATGAGTGAGCCACAACACTCCAGCTTGGGTGACTCAAAAAAATAATAATAATAATAAATCATATTAAAAAAAAGAGAAATTCTAAAAGGACACATTTTTAAAAATCTAGCAACAGTGAAAACTATTGGGTATGTAGTGAGGAACTAGACAGACAAAGGGCAAAATGAGATGGAGACTTCACAATATCACCCTTTTTTAATTAAAAGATGAAAATCATTAGAGGAGAATCACATCTTACTTAGGCAGTTAAATTTCAAAACAAGAACATAGGGCTAAAAAGTATATACAGTCAAAACTCCCTTGTAAATTCCTCAAGTAATCAACAGAGAAAAAATACACATTTGTGCGTCTTATTAGACTTAATCCCATCTATCAACCAGCGCATCACAGCCAGTTTTTCTTCCTGGGTTTCAACAAAAAGTATTTCTTCTCTGGCGTACTAACTGAAGAAGTTGCCTTATGTTCAGAGGTCATGAGTGTAAAAAACACTTAAAACTAGAATAACATTCAGCCTGGCAAAATAGTCTAAGAAATGCACAGCCGGACTGAGTCCCCCAAAAAAGGAACTGCCAATTCACACATCTTTCACCTAACTCTGAAGCCTATACCCCTAGAATAATGGCAAGAGAAACAATGTGCATTTTAAAAAATTGATAATATCTTATGTATTTACAGGGTACATGTGATATTTTGTCACATACATATAATATGTAATGATCAAGTCAGGGTCAAGTCCATCACCCTGTGAATTTTTCATTTCTATATGTTGGGAACATTTCAAGTTTTTTCTTCCTGCTACTTTGAAATATACGATACACTGATGCTAACTATAGTCACCCTGCTCTGTTAGCCAACATAAGAACTAATATCTTCTATCTTACTGCATGTTTGTACCCACTGACCAAATTCTTCATCCCCTCACCCACCCAAACACCCTTCCCAGCTCTCTACCTCCATAAGAGCAACATTTTTAGCTCCCATATGAGTCAGAATATGTAAAATTCAACCTTCCCTTTCTGGTTTATTTCACTTAACAACGTCCTCCAGTCCCATCCATGTTGCTGCAAATGACATGATTTCATTCTTTTTTTTTTATGGCTGAACAGTATCCCATTGGGTGTATATGCCACACTTTCTTTATCTGTTCATTCACTAATGGACACTTAGGTTGATTCCTTCTTTGCTATTGTGAACAGTGCTGCAATAAATATGTAAGTGCAGGTATCCATTTGATATACTGATTTTCCTTTTGAATAAATATCCAGTAACAGAAATACCAAATCATATGGTAGTTATAGTTTTAGCTTTTTGAGACATCGCCAGACTGTTTTCCATAGTGGCTATACTAATTTACATTCTCACCAACAGCGTATAAGAGTTCCCTTGTCTCCACATCCTCATCAACATCTGTTATTTTTTTGTCTTTTTCATAACAACCATTCTAAACAGGATAAGAAAAACTGGGTTTTTTTATATGCATTTCCCTAATGATTCGTGATGGTGAGCATTATTTTCATATATCTGTTGGTCATTTTATGCCTCCTTTGGAGAAATGTTCTATTCATGTCCTCTGCCCAGTTTTTAGTGAATTTTGTTTTTTGTTGTTGCATATTCTGGATATAATCCCTTATCGCATGAATAATTTGTTTGCAAATATTTCCCCCATTTAACAGGTTGTTTCTTATGCTGCATAAAAGCATTTTTAAATAGGTTTAATATGGTCTCATTTGTCTATTCTTGCATTAGGTGTCTGTTTTGAGGTCTTCTCCATAAAATCTTTGCCTAGACCAATGTCCTAAAGTATTCTCCTTATGTTTTCTTCTAGTATTTTTATAGTTTCTGGTCTTAACATTTGACTACTTATTGCATCGTGAGTTGATTTTTGGATATGGTGAGAGACAGAGGTCCAGTTTCATTATTCTACAGATGGTTATTCAGCTTTCCCAGCACTATTAATTGAAGAGGGTTCCCTTTCCCCAAAGTATCTTCTTGATATCTTTGTCAAATATCAGTTGGCTGTGAATATATGGATTTACTTCTGGATTCTTTATTCTGTTCTACTGTTTTTATACTAATATCATGTCATTTTGGTTACCATAGCCTTGTAATATATTTTGAAGTCAGGTACTATACTTCCAGCTTTGTTCTTCTTGCTCAGGATTGCTTTGGCTATTTATTTAGACTCTTTTCTGATTCCATCCAAATCTTAAAATTTCTTTTTTTATTTCTGTGAGAAATGATGTTGGGATTTTGATAGGGATTGCATTGAATCTGTAGACTGCGCTGGACAGGTACTCATTTTAATATTAAACTCTTCTGATCCATGAGCAATAGATGTCTATTTGCTTGTGCCCTCTTTAACTTCTTTAATAAGTGTTTTGTAGTTTTCCCTGTAAAAATCTTTTACCTCCTTGACTAAATATATCCCTATGTATTTCTGTAGCTATTGTAAATGGAATTGCCTTCTTGATTTCTTTATAAGTTATATAATTATTGATGTCTAGAAATGCTACTGATTTTTGTAAGTTGATTCTGTATCCTGTAACTTTACTAAATATTTATGAGATTTAAAAGTTTTTGGTGGAATCTACATTTTTCTAGATGTAAGATCATATCTTCAGCAAAGAGGGACAGTTTGACTTTTTTCGCAACATGGATGCCTTTCATTTCTTTCTCTTGTCTGAGAGCCTTGGCTAGGACTTCCAGTGCTGTGTTGAACAGAGGAGGCAAAGGTCGGCACCCTCGTCTTCTTTCAGTTCTTCAGGGAAAGGCTTTCAGCTTTTCTCCATTCGGTGTATTAGCTATGGATCTGTCATAGACGGCCTTTACTATGTTGAGGTATGCTCCTTTCATGTCATTTGTTGAAAGTTTTTATAATAAAAAAAATTGCGTTTTATCAAACGCTTTTTCTGAGCCTATTGAGTTTTTTTGTTTTTGTTTCTCATTGTGGCTATAAAGTACCACAGGTATTGATTTGTATATGTTGAACCATCCTTGTCTCCCTGGGATAAATCCCATTTGACCATGGTGTATCAATTTTTTGATTTGCTGTTGGATTGTTTGCTATTATTTCATGGATAATTTTTGTATATATGTTCATTAGGGATACTGACCTGTGGTTTCCTTTTCTGCGGCAACTTATATGGTTTTGGTATCAGGGTACCACTGGTCTCATAGTATGAGTTAGGAAGAATTCCCTTCCCTTCAATTTTATGGAATAGTTTGAGGAGAACTGATGTTGGTTCTTCATTGAAAGGTTG